CCCGCCCACCTTCACAGGCCAGCTGGGGAAGGGAAGGGGAGGCTTTTGTAGATGCCTTCCCCCCTTTTTTGCTTCCCCAGCCAGGAAATTAAACCTCCCCCAGACTCTCTGCAAAAGTGGAGAAGGAAGGGGAGGCAGGGAGACATGCCTGGCTTGGCTGCTCAGTATCCTCCAGGTGCCCCTGCAACTGCAGGGCACCTGAAGGAGCTCAGGCAGGAAAGCCAGGGATTTAAAAAAAAAACCATCTCTCCCCAAAAACAGAGAGGCTCAGGGGGAAAGGAGGGCATGTCTCCCGGCAGCAGGCTCACTGGAGAAGGCAGAGGAGGCAAGGATTCATGCCTGGCTTCCCTGCTCAGAGCTCGGGCAGAGAAGTCAGGGATTTAAAAAACCCCAGTCTCTCTGCAAAAGCAGAGAGGCTCAGGGGGAAGGCAGGCATGTCTTCCTCCTTGCGCTCCCTGTCTCCAGCCAACCCGCTGCGCCGGGCTGGCTGGAAATGGGGAGGGCATGGAGGTAGTCATGCCTGGCTTCCCTGCCCGAGCTTCTCTAGGCTGCGGGGTACCTGAAGGAGCTTGGGCAGGGAAGCCAGGGATTTTTTTAAATGTCTCTCCGCAAAAGCGGAGAGGCTCCGGGAGGGGGAGGCAGGCGCGTGGGTCGGGGAGCTGGGGGTGGGGCTTGCTGCCACCTGGGCTGCCGGAGCAGCACTCCGGGATGCTCCGGCCCCAAAAGACCCCTGTATATGACAATTATACATTAATTGCCCTTACGTGGATAGCCCAGGCTAACCTGATCCCGTCAGATCTCAGAAGCTAACCAGAGTTGGCCCTGGCTAGTATTTGGATAGGCAACCACCCAAAAAATACTAGGGTTGTGATGTGAAGGCAGGCTATGGCTTTCTGAATGTCTTTTGCCTTGAAAAAACTATGGGGTTGCCATAAGTCAGCTGTGACTTGACGGCAAACAACAACGATGCATTCATTATATTACGATCTATCAGAAGCCATAGTCTAGTAAGGTAACTAAAATTAAATATTCTATATAAAAAGCCAACAAATGTGAGGGTTTTTTTTAAATACTAAACTTCTTGCTAACAGATATTGTGTTGGATCAAGTGATGTGTGAATGGAAAAGCAAATTCACTTAGCATAGCTCTGCTGGCTCAAGTAATAGTGCTAGATATACTGCAATACCTACAATTACTTGCACATTGTCTTGTATAAGCAGAAATGAAAGCTGGGATTCAATGAGTTTCATTTAGTGCAACCTGCCAATACTGTCCTTTGTTATTTTCCCTTGTGCAAGGGCTATAGCGCATACAGAAGCCTTCAGCCTAATAAAAGAAAAAAATCTTATTTTTCTCTTTGGCAGGATGATGTGCCAGAGATGCAAGAATTCTTCCTGGTTAATTTAACATCTGTTGAACTCATCATAAATCCTTTGACATCTGTTCCTCCCAGACTTGGTATAAACTCCATATCAGAACAGTATTCACTGATTCTTTACATATAACAACATACAGAATGTATGATGGAATATCTTTTCTTGAACTAACTTCAGTACACATAAGTGTTTCTCTTAGTTTCCATGTGCAAGCTTTCAAGAGGATCTTCTTTATGAGAAATAAAACTTTATGAGAATATATATATATATGTATGGAAACTGATGTACAGAACAGGTAAATAAGATGGTGGGCAGCAGAAGTCAAAATCATGATGTCTTTCCACACCTAGAAGCACCCCCATGTCACAAATTGCTTAACAAGAACTCTTCACCAGCTTTCGGACTTTAATGTATCTTCCTATATCGGTTGACACTATTAGTAATTCTTTTTTCTACTGATACCAGCAGTGGAATGTCTGCTGGATAAAATTCCCATCACCGTGATGTGTTAAGGAAATGTACTATATATGCTATTAATATTTTCTTTTTCACCTTTCTTTGCATGCTTATAGATATGCCTGGGTTAATTTATTACAGGTTTAAAGGTAAAACCAAAACATCATGTTAATGTGCCCAGTTTGAGAAATATATTCTAGAAATAGTAGAAGTAATGTTTACGTTCACTATATAGTTAGATTTCCCTAGCTTCCTTTTCAGTGTTCACTGGGGACACTGTCTTTGCTGCATTCAAAATCAGTCATCCTATATATTTTGTGGATTAAAGTTTTATGTCACCTTGGGTGTTTTTTTTGGCAGAATGGTGATATAAATCACATATAGTCTAATAAGTCAACTCTGGACCAATCTGCAGATACTTAAATCCACGGATTGGGGCCACAGTGGCAGAAGAGAGAGTTTTTAGCAAATTTGGGGAATCTCCCAGGTTTGCAGAAAAATCTAAAGTTTTTAAAAAGGAAGGGGGGGGTAACAAAACTTCAGAACAGAGGAACATGATCTGTACAGGCACACACATCAATTTAATAGCCTCCCAGACAGAGCCCTGTGCAAGGGATGGGCTCTTGCGGCAGACTCCCCTGGGCTTCAGCCCACCCAAAGCGCGCACTGTAATGCCTCGGACAGCAGGGGGCCTGGAGATGGTTGAGGGGCCAGGGGGACGCGGGGAGGTGTTGCACCTCGGAGCGCAGAATTCACCCAGCCTGCAGTGGCTGTCAGAGAGGGGAGTTTGCGCATGCGCCGTTGGTGCCCCAGCCGGCAGTCCGTGCCAGCAAGCTCCCGTGGGACCGGCTGCTGGGCAGCCAGGGGGAGTTGTGACACCGGTGTGGGTCAAGGAGACACCGTAAGAAGCCA